TTTCGGGTGATGCTGATTTGGGAACTTTGTAAGAAATTAAAACTTGTTTATAATTTGTGTGGTGGCATCCTAAGTTAGTTTTGGCAGTGCAGTTTCTCTTTTGGTGTGTGTGTTGTCCCCCCCCAGTATTGGGGGTGAATCCCTTGCAGTAAATTTAAAATTACTGAGAACAGGCTACGTTTTCTTTGCTGTGCTTTGTGAATCCTTTTAGAAGTATTTTGTGCCGTTTCCAGTTTGTGGCACTGAGGTTCGAGGGTGTTATTTTGGTAACTCTCACATCTGCTTTTTTCATTGTGGTGAGACCTGTCTTGATCTGGTTTTGGTTTAGACATCTTTAGAATAGAGTCATTAGCAAAGGAAAACGTCTGTGATGGCTGATGGGACAATATTGAACTTACCTTGGAAAGTTCTTCTCAGTAAAGCTTCACAAGCAGTATACACAGTTACTTTTATGTAAAAGAAGAGTAACATCAAACAGCCTGTGCACATGTGACTTAATAGATGTGTGTGTGTATAAGATCTAGTTCGTTATCTTTTAAAATACGATAACTTAAGATGAAGAGCTAAGGCCAGTTTATTTGCCTCTGAAACTTAAAAGCAGATGAAACCATTAAACACTGCAGTGTTTAGCAAAACAATCTGTGAAGAAAATAAACCACCTTTACATGCCTACAGCCTCCCTGTAGTAAGTGAGAAGACTTTTCCTCAATTATCTTTTTTATGTTTATCTTATACTGGTTAGTGAAAACTTAGAAAAAGTGCAGGAAATCAAGCAGGGAGCAGAAAAGCAGGGAAATAGGTTTCTCAGAAAGTGATAGTGTCTTGTGGTTTCAGGTCACCATGCAGATGGAGGCCTTAGGCCTCTTCTGTTCGCTAGTTTTGAATAGTGCATACTAAAACGCATTGTTCAGTTCTCAGTACTAAAAGAATTTGAATACATGTGGTCTTTTCTTTTAGCCTGCATATCTTGAGGTTAGTTTTATAAACATTTAAACATGCTAATTTTGTTCCTTCCTTATCCAATTCCTGTTTCTGTCCAAAAAATAGCACAATAACGATGAGTTGAAATAAATAGAAAATTTGAAATAGTTTTGGCCAGTTTTCACATACTTTAAAGGCTTTTATGTGTACAAATACAGATGCATAAAGTGATGTGACTGCGTAAGTATTCGTGTAGTAGATATTTCTGATTAGTAAAGAAAGTTTTTACTCTAAATTTGGTAATGAATCTGTGTACTTGAAAGCCAGCATGTGTTATAGTTGCCAGCCTATGAAAATCAACATTTCTTCAGGAAAACAGTGAAAGTACAAATGCAATACAGAATTAAAAGCTTTCAAATACAGCTCACAGCAGTTTCAAAAGGCAAGGATTTTAAATCAGTCTGCTCTGAGTAATGTAAGTTGAATTAACCAAGTGTTGAAGCTCTTCAAGGTTTTACACAGTTGTTGTCTCGTCATACTGTTGTGCATCGAAATAGAAATCAACTCCGTGTCTTGACCTCTTGCTTTGCACTTCCCCACCTGATTTCTCTCCCCAGAATAGCTATAATAAGGTGAAGTAATCTCTATAGGGAAAGTTGAAGACTCCAGGCCATATTATATTGCAGAGTGATGGAGAAGACACTGTATATGTAAACAGCCAAAACCTGACTGAGTTTTTTCCTCTGGCACTGAAGCCAGCTGGCACTGAGGGAAAGTCTCAGGCCTTCCAAACCCAAACAGACACGTCCTGACTGCCCGCTGGGTCCCAGGTCCATGCTGACACCTGCAGTGTGCTCGGGAGGAGCGCTGGGTGGCCTGGGTCAGTGCTGCTCTGTCATGGGGAGGTGGTGGAGTCCTTTGGCACTGCTTCCCTTGCAGATGCAGGCTTGGCCTCGGGGAGGGGAGCCAGGAGGGGAACGAATGCTGCTACCGCTTAAAGTCACTGTCTGTCTTCTGTGTCTCTTGATCACCTTTTCAGATGGCAGTTAATACAGCTACAGAGTCATTTATCTCCCCCACAGAAACCTTTAATTAGTTTCTTTGAACACCTTGTAAAATAGTGGGGTAGTTGCTCTGCTGGGGGCAGGTTACACAGAGGAGATTTGGAGGAATTTGTTACCTTAGACCTTGTGCTCCAAACTACTGCTTCAGTTTGTCCATAGTGAGAGAATAAAGAAAAGAGGCTGAGGACTAAACATCCTTTTCAGTTCAAATCAGTAAGAAACAGATAAGTGTTTTAACAGGTACAGCTTATTACAAGCTTATTGTGTTAGCTGGAGAATGTGGAAAAAAATCCTGGAAGTCCAAGATTTTAGGACAATGATAAGGCAAGTCCAATAAATCACAGAATGTTAGGAGTTTGAAGGGACCTGGAAAGATCATCCAGTTCAATTCCCCTGCCAGAGCAGGATCACCTAGACCAGGTCACACAGGAACACGTCCAGACGGGTTTTGAATGTCTCCAGAGAAGGAGACTCCACAACCTCCCTGGGCAGCCTGTTCCAGTGCTCTGTCACCCTCACAGTAAAAGAGTTTTTCCTCATGTTCAGGTTGAACCTCCTATGCTCCAGCTTGCTCCCATTGCCCCTTGTCCTGTCATTGGATATCAGAGAGAAGAGCCTGGCTCCTTCCTCCTGACACTCGCCCTTTACAAATTGATAAATAAATAAAAATAAACCTCATCTCATCCAGTCAAGTTAAAACTGTGTAGGAGGTTCCAATTCAGTTGAATTCCTAGAGTTGATCTTAATATTGCTACATGTCCTTAAGAGAAATTGACAATTTCTTTCAATGTTTGAAAAATTGATTTTTTTTTTTGGCACTCAGTTGTATGCAAACCTGCCTCTCAAATTATTGGTGGAACAATTTAATCTTCTAATCTTTTGCTGAGTTTATTTTAGTGAAATTTCACAAACCTTTGCCAAGGTATTATGTATTTAGATAAAAAAGTGATAACAGAATTGCTGAAATACGCATTTATTATTGCTAATGTGTTTTAACAGGAAGCAGCACTGTGAGGCTATGCAGTGCTTTGAAGGTTAGCGGTTAACTTGAACCACAATTGTTAAAACTTTGTTTTAAGATGTAAACAAGTTTATTTGACTATTGAAAGAATTTGGATTCTGGAGGGAAAGATGAATTGAGGGAAAGAAGAAATAGTTACTTTTTTCTTACTTTAGGGTGAAAATAGTATGAGGAGTTACTTTTTCATAGTCTGTGAAGTTTGTATGTATGAGTACTTAGAGTTAGGAGTGACAGGGCCAGCTTTTATGTCAGATAGAGTCCCCATTATACACTTTTAAACTCTTAACTGGTGTAAGAAAGATGCCTTCCTACATTAAAAATTACACATTAAAAATTAAAAATTACACATTAAAAATTAAAAAACAAAAAGCAACAACCCAAAAGAAGGACACTGTCTTCACCTGCTAGAAGTCTGAATATCGTAAAGATATTGTGGAAAGGAAAGGGGAAAAAAACCAAACAAACCACCAAACCCAAATACTTAATTTGACAAGAAAACGTTGTGAAACTAGAAAAGTAGGTTTTGCCCAGTATTCCCCCTCTCCTTTCCAAAGTTGATCTGGCCTTGCTTAAAGCCCCCCAAAAATGTATTTGCAGCTGTATTTTTCTGAGCGTTTTTCATACACATGTAGTGTTTGTACTGGCTTAAATGTAAGCAGTCTCAAAAAAAGGTGACCTACAGTTTTTCAGATTAGAAGTAAAATTAGGCAGAAGTATGTAAAGTATGCGCTTGCATTCATCTCTGCATGACCCAGCACCCCTCAATGTTACGTACAGCCTTTTTAGTTGTGCATTTTTGTCGTGTGATGCTCTCTTCCTTGCAATCATGCAATTATTTAGGTGACTGGGTAAGCACTAAGCACAAGCTCCCTTTGCACGCAGGATCCGCTCTAATTGCTGCTCTTGTCTCTGTCCGTGTGTCCTGCTTTGTCCAAAGGGGTGATGTTCCTGGCTGCCCACCCGAGCAGCACTGCCTGCTTTGAGCTGGTTTCCCCTGAAGTGCACAGGCTGTATTCATCTCTTCTGTACGGCACTCGGCTGTGAGCGTCAACTAGGTCTTGTGTGCTGCCCTTGTGACCTCAGGGAATTAATTTTTCTCTCTTTCTTTCTAGTTAGGAGTGTTTGAAACAGCCTATGCGGGTGATGCTTTTGTAGCATGAAATCAAGGATTGTGTGTTGAGTGGCATGAGGATATATTCACTGAGAGTGGAAAGCATGTTGAGAGGTTGTTAACAGACTGGGATGGGCAGAAGGAGTCACGCTTGGTGCAGTCTTACCCATGCTGCCACTGGGAACAGTTCCTGGAATGAAGTGTTCCCAAAACTGTGCCCAGGTGTTGTCTTTACAAAAGCTGCTTGGAGCAGTGGAGGTGGCTGCTCTCTGGTCCTCCGTGGGTAGCAGGTTAGGTGTACAGGAGGCACAAGTGATGGGAAGGAGCTGCTGTGCCACTATGGATGTACCTACCTGGGCCACTGCTGTGCCTCGTCCTGTTCTTGCTGAGCTGGTCCTGGAACCTCACTTAAAGCAGGTTATGTAGCTCCCAGCTGCTGCGGCCTGCTCAGTGAGGGTATACAACACGGCACCAAAAAATGTTTCTTGTGTTTTTAAGGGACTGTGTGGTCCCTTTTAAGGGAATGTGCAGTTATGCGGTCATTTTTTTTTTAATTTCTCAGATTTGAAGGCATATATTATTTAGAAATTATAATGAGCTTGTACAGTGCATAAAATGCATGTGGACACCGTCTTGTACCTCTGCAGTTCTCCAGTGCAGTCGTTAATGCTGTGTTTTACCATCCAGTGACTTTCCTTGTTCGCACTTAACAGCCCTGCATGACACTTACGTAGAAAAATACACATCTTTTCCCTAAGAAACAGACAAGGATATCATTTAAGTAATGTCTTTTCTATTTTGACTTACTTTAAATTGCATTTACTGTCAGATGAGTTCTTGTCTTACAAGCTTGTCGTATCTCGCCTTGAACGTCATTTTGTAGTTACTTTGTGAAAATACAGAGAAAGCATACTAGGCTTCTGAAATCCTGCAGTAATATTTTCAGATATTACCCTAAACGATGAACCTTTTCCTCCAGCTTAAAATATTAAGCCAGCATTGCTTCAGCTTGCTTTGCAAGGCTTAACTATATCTGCAGTTATGTAAGTTTCAGTTATGTGATATTTCATGGGCATCTATTTAAACATACAACTATTATTTTTAGTTGAAATATAGACTATATAAAGACTTAAAAGATGTGGGATCAAGGTGGACAACCTTGGCAGCAATGGCCTTTGAACCAACAGCAGTGGATGCAGTCATTTCAGCACCAGCAAGATCCAAGTAAGTATATAGAAAGCTTTGTGGATTAATTTTTTTTTACTCTCTTGTCATTTGCATTTTTGAATCTTTGTTACAGAGCATGACTCGTGGTTGCTTTTTTTTGTAGCTACTCTTTGGGTAATACGTGTATGATGCTTTTCTGAACAACTAGAAAAAACAGAGCACATACATTGATTCCAAATGTTTTGACACAGTTACTATTTAATATGCAAAATACAAGCAAGCGATCTGAGTTATCCTGAACATATTATCCACATTTTCCCCGTCATACAGATCAACATTCAGAGTCTGTATCCCTGTCAGTTCTTTAGCCAAGCTGAATCGTTTATTTGAGAAAATCTGCTTTTGATTCAGTGCCTGTGTGGCAGAAGTACTAATGCAGATGTATACACAGAAAAACTCTCACTGGAAGATTAGTATAATATTTGTTTAAAGTTACAGCAGGGGTGATCATGATCTCTTGTTTGGATTTTTTTTTCCCCACCAAAAAAACACCCAAAATATATCTTAAATTGCGAGTGAGGTGACAGTTGAGGTGACAACAATTCAAAGTATCAAGAGAAATACAGAAATAGATGAAGAGAGTGGAGATGTGTATTTAATACTTGGCAGAATGATCAGGCACACTGGTTTTACATTACTTTCTGTCACTTCACTTTCTGTAACTTCATTGGAGAGATTTCCTGACTTGGTGATGAGCAGAAGACGTGCTAGTGTCCTCCTCTGGGAGTGCACTTTGTTTGCTTACTGGTAGGAATGGTAGTAAAGAGAAAAGAGAACTGTAATGTAAAATAGCGTTCTAGAAGTCAAGGTCTATGCAAAGAGTATACATTGCAAAATGTGGTTTACTAACTGTGTATCTTTCTTACACTTGAATGTTCATGGACTTAGCATTTAAGGCTATGCATATTTCATTCTGATACCAAAATTAGTTCACTTGTGAAAAAAGCATATTGCTACCACCCATTCAGTGCTAATGTGAACCTAAAATAAACTGCCTTATGGCATTTTGAACTTACGCAGAGAAGCTCTACTTCAGCAAGTATGTACACTGACATCTGCTTTCTGTTTGTTTTACTGTACTCTGTGAATAAGTTTTAATGGTGCTCACGGTACTTGCTGAAGGTAAACGTTGCCCATTTCTCTTGAGCAATGAGACGTGTAATTGAGAAACACTGTTAAACTTCAGACATGTGAATACTAACCTTTTAAATTTGCTCTGTTTATTTTAGGCCAGATTGATTGGGCTGCATTAGCTCAAGCATGGATTGCTCAGCGAGAAGCCTCAGGGCAACAGAGTGTAGTGGAACAACAAGGAATGATGCCAAACGGACAAGATATTTCAGGAATAGAGTCTGGTCCCAACAACCATAATAATTTTCAGGGGGATCCCAACTTCAACAGAATGTGGCAGCCAGGTTTGTTCTCCTTCCCATGCATTCCTTTTTTTCATGTAATGAAATTTTATTTTTGTCAGAGGGTTTTGGGTGTGAATATGCCCTGCCCCTCAGGTTTCAGGATGCAGAACTACCAGTAGTATCAATAATTACCTATCACAGCTGCTACTTGCCAGTCAGGTGTTCCACAAAATGGGTAGCAGTACAGACACAAAGGTCTGATAACACAGCTTAATAATCTCTGTTTAAAATAACTAAATTTAGTTTACAGTATACATATGCAAAAGATTTTTTGTGTCCCTGAATGTTGTGGAAAGATGAAGTGTGAATTGCAGTTATATACTTATTCCCCTGGATCTTATTCTTGCATCTTACATGTTTTGTTGCTTATCCTCCTGCACTAGGAACAGCAACACTGAAAGCAGCAGGATGCCTCAGAATTAAAGAGCATCTTTTGCCCTCTCCTGTAGTGCAATACCTGCTTCTGAGGTGATCTTGACACATAGAATGAGTTCACAATGTACTGGGCAGATTTTGGCCTCAGGTGTCTTAAAATCTGAAAAAGGAGATGAGCAAAATTCTGTGTGTAAAATACGTTTTTATTGCATGTTCCGTATACTTAGTATTTGCCTTTTTTTGACTTGCATATCTGGTCGACATCTGTGTAATTTTTCAGTTATTGTAAATTAAAGTTGGTCAAACACTTCTGTTACTATTAATTTGTTTACGTGCAATGCTTGATAAAAGTAGGCTTAAAATGTCATTGGCGGTTCTTATATGTGCATAACAAAAGGAAGTAGCCATCGGGTTTCACCTACCTGCCCTGGGTGGCTGTTGTGGCCACATGTAAGAATTGAAGCTTCACTATGTGGCAGTACATAGAGTATTCATACATAGTGTATTCTAGCTGTATTTCTGCTTAGTGAGTAGAGGTTTTCACAGAAATACTGTGTCATTATTGGACAGCTTTTGTTTTCATATGATCCTGTGGTGATGAGTTCTTCCTCCTATGCTTTTTTTGTCTGTGAGGTGACAGAGAATAGTATTTTAAGTGGTAGTTTTTGAAAATAGTCACAGAATGGTAAAAGTGAGGGAGACATTTTGCTGATAATTACAAATGTTTGTCCCCCAAGCTCACATAGAAAATACAGAACAGGAAAGCATCTTAGCTCTAGGAGTGAGAATAATGTAACGCCTTTTGTTAATGGGAAATTATGTGCCAATGCATTTTGTTATCATCGGGTATATCATTCAAAGTGTATGTTGTTTCACAGTTTTTTGGGACCCTGATAAGGACTGTGCTGATGCAGAGAAGATCCAGCTTCCCTTAATTTAGGCATTGTCATTCTTAATGTGTAGAAGTAGTCACAGCAGACAAACTAAATCACAGCATGCATGACTAACCAAAGTTATCGTCAAGCATTTACTCTGTTTCTACAAAGCTTCATCTTCTTCATATCCTTCCAAGTTTCTTTTTGGATCCTAAAGTCCTGTACGTGGTACTAAAAAAAACCCAAAATAGCAATCTGAAAACCAGAAACTGCATAACTAACAGACAGTTCATTTTGAAGGGATTCATCCTCCACAAGTGAAAACAGTACCTCTTATATGTGACTTGCAAGCTTTTAAGTCGGTTGACTTGAAGTGAATTGGGTGATTGAATAGTGTCAGATGTTAACACATACATTTATGGACAATAACTCTTGTAAACTGTACTTAAAGGATTCTGTCCCTTAGAATACTTTAGGAGTATTGTATCTGGAAAAATATTTGATTAATCAGCTAAACATGACCTACTAGGATGGCAGTGAGAGTGGAAGGAGTGATACAATCTTGGAACTTACAAAAACCCAACCAACCAACAAGTACAAAAACCATTTTAACCCTTTTTAGTTGCTACTAAAATAGCAATGGATCCAATTATGATGCAGATGGGAAGGTCAGTAAAAATTAGAAAAATGCAAAGAATTATTAACAGGCTGGATGGAAGGTAGGAGTTAGCCTCAGAGGTTAGGAGCTAACTCTTTTACTGGTGCAAGTTACAAGGTGATTCTGTCACAGTCTATAAACATCTGTATAGTGGACATAATTTTTAAACTGATTTTCTAAGAAGGCAAAACTTATGTCCACTTGAGCTGTTAATTAGTTCCTTAAACCCTTTTAACTCTGGTAACCAATTGTAATTTATGTTTGAGGGCTTATGAGTGTAGCTTATGCTGGGACCTCTGCTAGATATTGAAGAACCCAGGGACTCATCCGTTATCAAGACACAAGACTCTGGAAAGCAGATTTCAGTGGTTCTGCTGCTTACAGAACCATTTGCTTTCCATAATAGGTTTTTAAAGTCTATTATGGAAAGGAGTAAAATAGCTCATTACTTTGAAAGTTGAAACAACATAGAAATACAGAAGTAGGAGCAGCTCTTTAACAGTCTGAACAATTTGTAAGGCTATGGTGGACTCAATATCTCTGGAAAATTATAAAACCAAATTTACAGCGTCTCTGTGTCCGTCCAGTTCTGCCCCCACTGTGTTTTAGTTCAGCTACAGCTATTTGTATTTCCTTCATTTAGTTGAAGAAACAGTACAACATAGTCTGTAGATTGATGATTCTTCATAATTTTATCATCTGCATTGCTTTGAGGAACCTTGTGATAAATACAAGAACATTTGAGTGGTTGGTGACCCATATAAATTGTGCTAACTTGGTACTGAATTGTATTCTAAATCCTAAACAGAATGGGGAATGCCTCACCAGCCCCCTCACCCACCTCCAGACCAGCAGTGGATGGCTCCAACCACAGGGCAAATGGAAATCGTTCCTCCATCTGAAGACAGCAACAGTCAGGACAGTGGGGAATTTACTCCTGACAACAGGCATATATTTAACCAGAACAATCACAACTTTGGGGGACCGCCCGATAACTTTGCAATGGGGCCAGTGAACCAGTTTGACTATCAGGTGAAACATATTTGTTGCTTTAATATTGTAGACGCGCAGAGTCCCTTCCGTGGATGCGTTCCTCTAATATCATCTAGCGGCGACTTTCATTCTTCAGTTCTGCAAACATCTACAGAATCTGTTATCTGCTCAGATACATTTTTACCAAATACGTTACAGAAGAGACTTTAGAGTTCTCAGTTCTGTTCTGAGGCCAAAGGGTTTTTTCTACACTAGTAATGAGAAATGGCTGTTGTCTGCAGTATTAAAATGAATCACTGTGTTCCAGTATTTAAATTAACATTCTGTAGTTTTGTGTTAAAAGAAAAAAAAAAAAGAGAAGGAAAAAAAGAAGTTCAGCAACATATACTTAAATACACTAGATAATGTGCCATAGGGAACAGTCCTGTATTTGCAGGGAGATAGACCGGATGATCCATCGATCTTTTCCATACCTATCTACTGTGATTGTTTAAATAAACAACTGTATTTCTAAAAAAATCCACATCCAACTTTTTCTTCATTCTGATATATAAGTTGCAAAACATAATAAATCTGTAGGTGGTTTTAGCACTAATAAATAGCAGGGGGCAAAAAGCAGCTTTGGATCTTTCCCTTATTTTCAGTATTTTTCTTTCAAAACTCTTGATATAAATGACAAACTGTACCTGTTAAAACACTTTTCTCCTGTTCATAAACAAACCCAAGGGAAGATGGGCAGAAATGTGTTTTTATCTTCTGGCCTACTTTTCTCTGTTATTAAATTCTCTTGTTCAGCAATATTGTTAGAAAGTGAGCCCATATTTTCAAATACACTAGTTTATTATAATTTCCTTTGTTTGTGAGACCAGCTCTTAAAATTAATTTCTCTAAGTGCTATGGAAAACTTGTTTTCCAGTGAATAACAGAGGGATACTTGACCTCAAGCTGCAGTGGAAGAGTACTTCTACCACTAATGACTTAAATAGTCAGTAGGATATAGTAAAAAAAAAAAAGATACTATAACTTTCTTCCTAAACACTCTCCTCTTAAATAGTTGCATTAGGCATTTCTGGGCAGCAAATACTAAACCAAAAAAACCCTCATGTATGCCTCAAGACTTGTGACTTGTGGATTATATACAGCTTGCTCAGAACCCAGGGTCTGTACTAAACTTGCATATTTATGCATTTAATATTTTGATCAGCCATTCTAATAACATCCATGAATGATTACTGGAAAGTGCACAGTGCAAAATTGTTTTGTAATAAAAACTTGACCTTTTCATTTTTTGTCCTCATGTAGTTACACGGAAAGACTGCTAGCTAGAGTTTCAGACCTTAATTTTGTATACTCTTCATTTAACTGCATGCTATGATGATAAGCTGGCAAGGTACTGCTGGAGATAGGTGGTGATTATAGGGCTTAATGTTTAGCACAATATGAAAGGAGATTGGTTGAAGCCCTTTCAGCTTCATTAGTATCCCTGCTTGAATCTCAGTGTGCTCATTAAATATTTAAGGAAAACTTGTATCTTGGGGGCTACAGAAAAAGAGATTGAGAGATCTCAGCCTAGAAATCGTGGATTCCTGCTTGCATGGATTTCTGTAGACCGACTTGCGCACATGCTGTGTTTAGCGTTACATGTGAAGAAAAATAAACTGCATTACTCTTTCAGCATGGGGCTGCTTTTGGTCCACCTCAAGGTGGATTTCACCCACCTTATTGGCAGCCAGGACCACCAGGGCCGCCAGGTCCACCAGCACCTCCTGCACCTCCTCAGAATCGAAGGGAAAGGCCCTCATTCAGAGACCGACAGCGTTCACCTATTGCGATGCCTGTGAAGCAGGAGCCTCCACAGATTGGTACATGTTAACCACTCCTTAATGAGAAAATATAAAAGCTGTGTTTTGAAAAGAATTGCAAAATTTGAAGACTTTTTTTTTAAAAAAAAACCAAAAAACCAACAAAGTAAAAAGGAAAAGGCTATTATAAATGTTTTTTTCCCTGCAATTGAATGTGTGGCTTGTTTGGTTTGGGGTGGAGGGTTTGCTTCTTTGTTCTTGTTTATTTTTGGGGTGGTTTATTTTTTTTGGGGGGGGGGAAGGTTTTTTCCATCTTACAAAACTGTAAATTTTGCTTTCGTAGATGCTGTGAAGCGGAGAACTCTGCCTGCCTGGATTCGTGAGGGCCTGGAGAAGATGGAACGAGAAAAACAGAAAAAATTGGAAAAAGAGAGGATGGAGCAGCAACGTTCACAGATGTCTAAGAAAGAAAAAAAGGAAAGTGAGGAGGCTGAAGAAGGGGATGGCCCACGGTTACCTCAGAAAAGTAAATTTGTAAGTAGAAGGGTTTGCTGTTTGCTCAGGTTTGTATTTCCTGAAAGGTATCAACTTTTTAGTCTCTTCAAAAGAGACTGTGTATTCCTGGTTATCACTCTGTTTTTGTTGCTTAAAGTGAAGTTAAGCTGCTGCTTTGTTGATATTTACTTAGTATTTTGAAGTTAGTAATATCTGAGAGGTAAAAGTGTATTATTTAATCTGTAGTAGCAAAGAAACAACGTTAAAATTGGAATTTTTTTTCTTTTCTGTGTTTGGGAACATATGTGGTCTTACAGGGTTTGAATTCTAAATCAGTAGCTGAACGAATTCACATACCTGTATCTGCTAAACTGAACCCTCTTAGGGAGCCTTGTGCTGCCTTCACAGAATCACAGAATGTTAGGAGT